GCAAAACCCCATTTTGAAAAGCAGAGCTACTACTTCAATGGAGTCGATCAACCAAAACCAGGTGGCATCTAGAATTGTACATCAGGTATGTGGTAGGAAGAGACTCAATGCTATGGAGCAACAGAAATACACAGCAATCTCTGTCTGCCTTACTTGTGTCAGTCCATGAGTGTATGGTCTGGGACAAACATATTTATGAAGCAAAATACTGCTAGAGAGAATTACTAGCAGTCCTACGGAACACTCATCTCTATGGTGGACATAATCCAAACCTGCAATGGAATTATTTATTTATAGAAAAAAAAATTACGGAGACACACAACCGACATCTAGTGGCATCTGAAATTGTACATCATGTCCACGGTAGAAAGGGTTACAATGTAACTGACAACTACCATGGTCACAGGATGGACAGTGCAGAGGTAAAAAAAAAAAGTATACCTGGTCGGGCACAATTTGCCACAGAGTGAGATCCACAATACAAATGGAAAAAGGCCTCTGAAAAGTGAGAAAATAAAAAAAAGCAACCTGGCACAATACCAAAACATGAAAATTGAAATAAGTAGTAAAAAAACCAAGTCAGTTGTATAACTAAAAACATTGACAAATCTGCAAACAAAAACTAGCACGTCTGTGCAGTACTTCTGCCAATCAAAAAGTGATTAACAAGTGTAGATGTGAAGAGGGCGCTGATTACGATATGAGTGGTATCGTGCTCCTATTGATGGAGAGCTGCTACAGGATCATTTACATGTGGATATGCAGAAGAGGAGGTGGAAGGCTAGTAGCCTGTATTTAAAATTTGTGCTGATAGAGGGTAGTGCTAGTCGAGAAAAGCTATATTGTGAGTGGAAGTAAGATATCATATCAGAATTTTGTAGTGTTTCTAGGACTGATTTCAGACACTTATCTCACATGATTGTACAAAAAGATCTCTAAACATAAACACATCCGAAATTCCAAACTATTGAAACTCAGAGATTACACCCACCCTGTTCAAACTCTCAATTCTAACTCATTGATCTTGAACTACAGTTCAGTACAGTTAAGTAATATTTGTAAATGTGCACTTGCCAAAAGCCTTAGTATCTCTCTCCAAAGTTCTAAATTAAGTAAATTGATCACTTTTATCCTTTTCAAGCAGAATACAAATCCCTAAAGGATTTTCCTCTTTTTAATAAACTTCCTGCACAGAATTAAAACTGAGCTAGGACTTACTTTTAAAATAAATTTGAAAACTTTAGTCTTTCATCCTTTACAACTATAATACCTTTAAAACTGTCTCTATTCTCATCTCATAATGAATTAAATGCTTTACAAGATCTCCCAAAACACCCTAATTTTCTTGTCATTCAATCCAACATAGGTAATGGAACTGTCAAATTAGACAAAAACAAATACCTCAGCAAAATTAAAACAATCCTTAAGGATTCTTCCAAGTTCATTCCCCTTAACACTGACTGCCTGTGGCTCAAAACTTGGGATTCTCTAAAGCCTTCCTAAGGTTCATAAATGTAACTCCCTAAAACCTACCATTTTATCCACTGGTTCTTACTCTTACAAACTAGTCAAATTTCTTATCTCAGCCCTTAAATTAATTCAATATTAATAACTATTCTGAATTTGTGCAGGAAATAAATTCCATATATTCACTTTCAAAATATTATATGGCTAGCTTTGATATATTTCCATCTTAACCACTATTCCTGTCCTTGAAACTATTAATACCTGCATATCAAGTCTTTCTAAAGAAAATCTTTAAATCCTTAACTCTCTTGCTAGGGGCTCGGTGAATTTGATCTAAAAAATTGACCCTTAATTGACCTTTAGAGTTCCCATACTATAACTTCTAATATGTTTTATGTATCTTCATGTAATTTTGCAAGCTTTCAGTACACATTAAGAATCATTTGTAAACAAAAAATTTGAGTTTTTCAATTTCTCCATGAATACATGGAGTCAAAATGTTTACTGCTCTGAGTGCAAAGTGATTTTTATGTTAAGATTAAAAATACTTTTCTTCATCTGAAAATTCTCAAATTTCATTTGCATAATTTATAAAACCTCCTAAATAAATTTCAAATGTTTTTTTTTCAGTAACCACCATAAAAATGTATGAAATAAATCTAAATTACCTTTTCTTCTTTCTAGAATGACTTCAAATTGTAACATGAAACTACATTTGTATATCCTAAATAGCTTTAAACTTATAATGCTATATAATTCTAACCTAAAAAATTTCTAATTTTACACTTTAGTTAGTTTTATAATAAATAAAGAATACACATGAAAAACAAAAAATATAGTACTTAAATGGGTCACTTTTTTTTGCTGTCACTAATTTTTAATACTAATGGCACTACTGCACTAAATTTTTTATTTAATTAAACAATACACCAAAAAAACAGAATAATAATGTGCAAAAGCAGACAATGTCTT